CTACTGTGTGCTTGCTGCTTGGGCATGTAGCTTTATGGGAGGACAAAGTGGGAATTCCAGAAACTTCAGGAATTTTTTGGATATGAAAAAAAAAATCACTACAAGGAAACGTCTTGTTCTCCGGGGAGAGGGACCTGCAGGGTTTCAGGTGTTTGCTATGAGGTGGGTGCCTGTGGGACTGGAAGATGATCCCAGCGCTCCCCTCCGGCTGCTCAGGACGTGAAGAACAGCACACCCGAACACATTCATCACCGTGAGACACCGGGGTGGGAAGTTACACAGAATCACAGAATCATCCTGGTTGGAAAAGCCCTTGGAGCTCCTCCAGCCCAACCATGACCCTCCCCCTGACCGTTCCCAACTCCCCCAGATCCCTCAGCGCTGGCTCAGCCCGACTCTTCAACCCCCCCAGGGGGGGGTCCCCATCCCTGGGGGGGTTGAAGAGTCGGGCTGAGCCAGCGCTGAGGGATCTGGGGGAGTTGGGAACGGTCAGGGGGAGGGTCATGGTTGGGCTGGAGGAGCTCCAAGGGCTTTTCCAACCAGGATGATTCTGTGATTCTGTGTAACTTCCCACCCCGGTGTCTCACGGTGATGAATGTGTTCGGGTGTGCTGTTCTTCACGTCCTGAGCAGCCGGAGGGGAGCGCTGGGATCATCTTCCAGTCCCACAGGCACCCACCTCATAGCAAACACCTGAAACCCTGCAGGTCCCTCTCCCCGGAGAACAAGACGTTTCCTTGTAGTGATTTTTTTTTTCATATCCAAAAAATTCCTGAAGTTTCTGGAATTCCCACTTTGTCCTCCCATAAAGCTACATGCCCAAGCAGCAAGCACACAGTAGTGCTCTGTGGGATTCCAGCTGTCTCAGGAGCTGAATGAATCCGGGGCACAGTGCTGCCAGCTGCAGGGTGTAAGGAAATGCCGATGGGGTAAACCTCTGCGTTTCTTCCTTCCTCTGAAATGAGAACAGGTCCCACCGGGAGAGCTTAGGAACTTGTGTAGGAGCTGTCTCCCCAGAGGTGAGCGGTTCACCAGGCTCTGGTTTCTGTGGGGGGTTTATGACGCCCGAGTCTCCAGTTACAGGACAGTGCATCAGGCTGTCCTGGTTTCCTCTAGGGACGCAGAGCTTAGTGTGGGACGGAGGGAAGGTGGCCCGGGGCCGGCGGGCAGTGTCGGGCTGTCCCCTGCACCAGCACGGCTCCTGACTTCTCCTCCTCCTGCAGCTCGGGGAAGACTCGGATTACGACAAGCTGAGCGATATGGTCAAATATCTCGACCTGGAGCTGCACTTCGGGACGCAGAAGCCTACGAGTAAGTACCTGAGCCCCAGGGCAGGTCCTGGTCCTGGCTGGAGGTCGCGGTGCTGGGAGGACACGGGGCGAGACGGGCAGCAAGGCAGTGCCTGGTCCTGGCTTCACACCATTCATTCATACTCAGGACCCTGTGGCTGGTGGCACAGCAGATCATTAAGGCAGAGATCGTCTCACAATCTCCCTTAATTTTCTTCACTGCCATTATCTGTTTTCTCTCCACATTGCAGTCGATCGGGGCAACAAAACTCAGCCGCAGGGTTTCGCTCCCCGTTGCGCTCGATGCTGCTTCCCAGCTCCTGCTGCACCCGCCCGGCCACCGCCAGTGCCAGGGGAACGTGGGGTGCCGGCTCTGCTCCCCAGTGCCACGGGGGCCCTGCCCGGCAGCACGGCAGAGCCCAAAGCTGCCCCACACGTTATAAGGACCCGTGCAGGGCTCCTGCTCGCTACGGTCTGTGCAGCGCAGCCGTCGGCCGGGCCCCGGCGTGCACGGGCACCGCCTCGTGCTGCAGTCACAGGAATGGCTGCAAGCCCCGATGGCAGCTCGGTTGCTTTGAGCCCCGAAACAGCCACAAAAACATTTCTCTGTCCATAGAGCCTGTCACAAGCAACACTTTTCTTTCTACATCTATAAGTAGTTAGCTCCCCCCAAGACCTACGTGTGGGGTCTGTAGCTGCCTGCCGTGCAGCCTCCCCCATCGCTCGTGAACCGGGGACTCCTGCAGCCCCAGCGACGGGGCTCTCCCACCCACCGGGGTCCCTGGGCGCTGCCAATGGGGAAAAGTGAAATGCCAGTGGGACGTCTGAGCTCTCCCGCAAGGGACGTGATGCACGGTGGCAGCGTGGGCAGAGCCGAGCTAGAGCAGGCTGATACAGAGGGGACTGGCAGTGGAAGTGGGGTGAAGCAGGATTCTTCGCAGGGGCTGTCTTTATCGGGATGTTTCTGGGCAGTCTGGGATTTTCTGTGTGTTTCACCTCTTGTTTTACCTTTTTCAGCTCCAACTGAGTCCTCCATTGAGGAGATCTTTGAATCGCAGAATTCAAGGATTCCCGGAGCCATTGCTGTGTGCAAAGCATCAGTTCTCCTCCTTTTCATTCATGGTTTCACTGTTTTCAGGACAGTTTTCTTCCTGCTGGAGCCGGCTGAGCCTGTCCTTACCTGTGATTAAATCTTTCAGTTTCTCTTCCAGAGCCAACTCTCATGCCTGAAAACTTTAAAAAGAAAGACGTGGTTGAAATTTTGTCCCACAAAAAGGCCTACAACACATGTAAGTAAACATCACGGTGAATGTACCCCCAAAACGGGCCCAGAGATGGGGCCGGGGATGTAGAGAACTGGAAAGGTAAAAGGAAGGCGGCTACATGAGCACAATCCCACGAGCGCAATCCCACGAGCAGAAGCTCTGCTGGGCTGGGCTGTTCCTCCAGGCTGGGCTCGGCGCTGGGCGGGGGCGAGAAAGTGGCTTTATAAAAAAGGACGGAGGTGGGATGTGACTCATTGGCCTGGGAAGGGACTGGGGCAGTGAGGGTGTGGGGGGCCATCCTGCCCTGCTGCCCGCCGGGGAAGGGTCCGTGTTGCTTCTCCAGGACGTGCTTCTGGCAGGACGGAGAGTGGGAGGGCTTGGCGGGACCCTGCGAGCCCCTGGGCTCCTGGCCACGGGGGATGTGGGAGAGGAGGAGGCGCTGGGGGTGGTTTCCAGCCTGATGTGTGGGTGATGTACAGGCATGTGGTGCAATGCCCGGGGGGGTCTGCAGGACCAGAGTGACTCCTTGGGTCCCCGTGGGCCTTGGGGAGCAGAAAGTCCTTCCCCTCCTCAGCGCTGACCCTGCGCCAGCGTGGGCACGTGGAGAAGTCCACGTCACCCTCACGCCGTGGAGAGATGGAGCTTCGCCTCCCAGCCCCATCCTGCCGGGCTGCCTGTCCACCCCAGTCCCTGGGATCGGGTCGCCCTCCCCTCCCAAGTGACACACCTCCCTTGCCCCCAGCCATCCTGATAGCCCACCTCAAGCTCTCGCACATCGAGCTGCGCCAGATCCTCATGACGATGGAGACCGACCGCCTGGAGCCTTCCCACATCAAGCAGCTCTTGCTGTACGCCCCGGACGGGGAGGAAGTCCAGCGCTTCCAGAGCTACAAGGAGAACCCCGGCAAGCTGAGCGAGCCCGACCAGTTTGTGCTGCAGGTAACTGGGCAGGGCCGTGCTCCGGGAGCGAGGGCTCTGCATGTGTCCCCGGGATGTCCCGTTGCGAGCTGGGGGGAAGGAAAACACACAACAGGGAGGAGAACAGCAAGACGCTGCTCTGCTGATGCATGCAGAATCGCAGAATCATCTCGGTTGGAAAAGACCTTGAAGATCATCTCGTCAACCATTTCCTGACCGTTCTCAAAACAGTGGGTGGGCAGAGCTGGTGGCTCTGGTCACAAGGACTGCTGGCGAGCGATGCTCGGGGCGTCTGCAGCTCCCACAGCGGCTGTTTTACAGCCAAACCATACCAGAATGTTTACCCCACGGTAAGAGTGACTTTGCCCACCTCTGACTTACTTTCTGTTGACAAAGTCCCTCGTAGCTATTGGCACAAAACCTTCCATCCCGTGGCAGCGATCTGCCCGTCTGTGGGCTCCAGCCGCCGTCCCAGCGGCTCCACGGCGTCGCCGGCGCTAACACGTGCATCCTGCTTTCACGTGCAGGGAAATGTGTCAGGAAAAGCACCGTACAGGAGGGATTATGGCTGATGGCGGTAGCAGTAATTTTCTCCTTTTGCTCTCAGATGTTGTCAGTACCAGAGTACAAGATCCGGCTGCGCAGCCTACATTTTAAGACCACTCTGCAGGAGAAGACAGAGGAGATCAAAGCCAGCTACGAGTGCATCTGCAAGGCCTCTCTAGAGCTGAAAAGCAGCAAGAAGTTGGCCAAGATTTTGGAGGTCAGAACAGTCCTTCCTCCTGGTAACGGCCACCGGGGGTCCCCCCTGTCTGCAGGCATGCCCGCAGGCAGCCGGGCGCAACGCCAGCCCCACGGCTGTGCTCTGGGCTCCTGGCCTGGCCAGGCTCCATCCCCTGGCATCTCCCACTGGTATTGGCGTGGGGGGGTCCTGGCACGGGGAGGATGCAGGGGGGCAGGTTGCAGACGGCCTTGCACCCACCCGCAGCAGGGCTGCAGGAGCCAGGAACCCGCCTGGTAACACAGCAGAGCCCAGAGGTCGTCCTTCGGCTGAGATGGAGCTGGGGGATGTGGGTTTGTGGAACTGGGGGATGCGGGGTTTGCCCAGGCAGTCACTGTGTGCGTGTCTCGTGCAGGGAGCACTGCAGGCTGGTCCCTGTGCATGCTGTGGGCTTGTGCTAGCCCATGGGCTTGTACCAGCCCTGCTGTGGTGCAGACAGGGGTCCCAACGCGGACCTGGCCGGTGTGGGTGATGGGGTGAGATTCTGCCTTTAACGTGCCTTCATCCGCCTCATCTAACCCAGCGAACGGACGGAGAAGCTTTTATTAATGGCGCTTTATGAGCGCTTAGCAGAAGTGACCTGACACAAAAAAAGGTGCTTTCCCACCGTCCTGGAGGCCTTTTCCCTCTGCTCCTACCCCACCGTCGGGAGGTCTCTGTGACCCACAAGCGGGGACGAAAGGCGAAGGGACGATGGAAGTGCGGGAGGTCACTGGCCAGTCGCTCACTGAGGTTTCTCTTTGCAGTTTGTGCTGGCGATGGGAAATTATCTGAACAATGGGCAACCCAAGACCAGCAAAACAACAGGCTTCAAAATCAACTTTCTCACCGAGGTAAGGTGAAGCATCCTTGTTCCCGTGCTGGAGCTCCAAGTGCCCGGTTCATGGTGCCCGTCCTCGGACCTGGGGGACCCGAGGGCGGGCAGGGACGGGTGCGCAGGGTTGGTTTCAGAAAGGCTCTAACAGTGGGCTGGTGCTTCAGTGCGCGGGGACCTGAGCTCCAGCCCTTCTGGCTGTGGGGTGGGAGGAGACGAAGGTTTTTATCCCACGTGGGTCACTGTGGGACTCCCGAGGGGTGGGGGACGAGGTGAGAGGCCTGACCTGTGGGAGGGAGGCATTGCTTAGCATCTGGATGCCGCTAATCTGGGCGTAACGTGCTGTGTAAACATTAAATGTCCTATTTAAACATTAATCCACGTAGCATGGCTGGGAATTGCCAGGCACGTGAACGCGGGGTGAGCTGAGCAGGACGGGGGAGCCCCCGTGTATTCGGGTGCTTGGCAAAACCCTCTGCAGAGGAACCTCCTTCCTTGTTTTGCTTCTCCGCAGCTGAACACGACCAAGACTGTGGATGGGAAATCCACCTTCCTGCACATTCTTGCCAAATCACTAAGCCAACACTTCCCAGAGCTCCTGGGCTTTGCCAAGGATCTTCCTACAGTGCCGCTTGCTGCCAAAGGTAAAGGAACAAAAACATCTGCAGGCTTTGTGTCTCCCTGCACTTCTCTTGGTTTTGTACAGGTCTGGAATCAGCCATGAGCTGCGCAGCGTTGGCACCCGAAAGAAGTGAGGGATGGTCCTGAGTGAGGGATGGGGTTAGGAAGGGACGAGCTTAGTGACAGGGGAGGTCCCACCCGTCCCGTGCTCCCACCACACATGGGAGTGCCTAGACAAGGCTCTGTCCCTGACCTGAACCTTCCTTCTGACTTGGAAAAGCACTTCTCGAGTTCAGAGGTGTCTTGGAAGTGCAAACGAGGCAGAGGAGAGGGAAGTGCCAGGAGCGGGTCTGCTCCACCCAGCCTCTGCCCCCTCCCACCCCCAGCGTGATCCTCCGCAGCGTGGCCGCCGGCGTTATCACTGCCTGCAATCGTGGGTGGTACGGGGTGTAGAGCACCCTCCGTGTTAGGAGTTCACAGTCCAGTCACAGGGACGTCGTGCTGACACACGAGGATCACGCAGCTTCGCTGGTTGCGATTAAAAAACAGTCCTGTAGGTGCTGGGGGGGTTATCATCCGTCCGCTGGCGTTGGTGGTGTCACAGCAGGCAAAGCGTGGGCTGCGGTCTCCTTGCACGCCGTCCCCGGTTGTTTGTGAGTAATTCCCTTGGGAATTAGTGCTGCAACTGGGAAATAAAGGAGAAAGTTCAGGCCTGGAGATGTAAATTTCTGCTTGATGAAGGTCTGGACCTGTAGCTTTCCTAGCTGGATTTTGTATCTGGCCTAACTGTTAGATAACACTCGGATAACCTTAGATAACAGCTCCCTGCTGCCCAATCGCATTCCTCTTTGCACCCAGTTTCAGACCTCGTGCCATCCAGGGCTGCCCAGCTTCGCTCTTATACAGGCCACGGAGCGAGGCAGCTGCCGCCCGCAGCCCCGACCCTCTTGACGTGCTGCAGCTCACCTTCTCCCTTGCCTGCACAAGAGCCACGGCTTGGCTGCCCGAGGCAGGAAGGATTCTGAACTGCTCCTCACTCCCTGGAGCGCTGGTGCTGTGACGAGATGCCACGAGGGCAGGCGGGATGTCGGCCCGTGTCCCACCCACCTGTACCCTCCCTCCCAAGTCAGGTCCCTGCGCATCCATCCCTGCCCTCGTGCTGCTGAGCCCTGCACGCTCCTTGAACTTGGCACATCCCAGGCTCCTTTTGAGGTTCTTGGCATCTCTTGGCCCGAGCACCCAGCACGGGCTGCTGGCGGCCAGCAGGAACCTCTGGTGGTCCACCACAGCGCGGACAGGTCGTGCAGAGCCGTGAGGACAGACAGACTGAGCCACCCTGCCCCACGGCCCCGCTCGCTGCCCTCGCTCTGCGGCGGGAAACGAGCCCGCCCAAGTCTCCCAACGCTGTTGACTTCTCTCTTCTGCAGTGAACCAGAGGACACTAACGGCTGACCTGAAGGACCTGCACACCACCGTCAGTGACATACAGCTGGCCTGCCACAACATGCCAGCTACCGCAGAGGACAGGTTTGCAGTTGTGATGACTGTATCCTTCTGTAAAAGGGGCAAACCATCCGTGGGACTTAACTCCCCTCCCAGTAAAACCATTTCGTTGTCTCTGTGTCTCCTTGGTAAGCAGCAGGGCTGTGTCCAGCTGGTAAGAAAGCACCACCTCAGCACTTGGTGGGAGCGTGGGGGAAATCTCCACCCTCCACTCACTCAGCCAGCAGGGGAAACAGCTTTTGCGGTGACCCCTGGTGCACATGCCTCTGTGTGGCAGAAACCCTGTGCCACGAGGCCAGAAAACTCTCCGAGTCGTCTTTCCTTCCAGAGAGGCGCTGTTAGGGACAGCCGAGCGTGCCAGCGGGCTCCCTTTGCATGTGGCCGCAGCCTGCGTTTGCAGCAGGTCCCTTCTTAGGCCTGAGAGGAAACCCAGGCATTCGAGAAGTGATTCTGACCTGTGCCAGGCCCACAGTGCGGCTGGTTTTCCTTAAGCCGGTTCTCTCAGTCCTTCCTGGAGAGCGCCCAGCCTGCCATGCGATCCCTGGACGACCTGCAGCACAAGGCCATGGAAGAGTTCAGCAAGGTGTTGTCCTTCTTTGGGGAAGACTCGAAAATGACAACTTCTGAAGCTTTCTTCGGCATTTTTGCAGAATTCATGAGCAAGTTTGAGGTGAGTCGCGCTTTGCAAAACCAGCCAGGGAGCGGTTTCCTGTTAAGTGTCAGTGAAGCGTTTCACTTGCCTGTGAGCTGTGGGAACGAGACGAGCTTTTTGTGAGCACGTGTGTACCTGGGCGTCCGTAAAGTGCAGTTTTTCTCACGTACAAGTTGGCTGGCTGGGGCGGGAGGCTGAGGTGAGGGCTGGTGCACCAGCCCCGTGGAAGGTAAAGCAGAAGTTGTCACGGTCTGATGTTCTTGGTTAGTGAAGGCTGGGTCGTGGCACCACAAAGCAGGTGCAAGTCCAGGAGGAAGCCAGGGAAGAAATAAGTCTGGAGTGGGGCCAGTCCCATTGAAACATCTCCCTGTCCACACCCGCCGCCCGTGTCTGATCCTCAGCTCCTTTGCTCTCTCTCCCGCAGCGGGCGCTCAGCGATGTGCAGGTCGGCGAGAGCCAGCGCAGCCCCAGGATGACCTCCCCCCTTGCCTGGTGATGGGCCTGCAGCAACGCAAGGTGCAACAATTTATTGCCAACAAAGTGCAATTTGCTCCTGTTGAGTTTGGTTGTAAATACGCTGCTGTCACCTGCTGCCACCAAGCGGAACCACGGGCCGAGGGGTCGGGGCAGTTTGGACGCTGGAAAGGCACCGTAGGTGGAAGTGGATGGATGCGAGGGGGAGGCACAGGGACTTGAGGGTGAACACCGTGCTGGTCTTGACAACAGCTTTCTTAGCGTCCTCCATTTCTGGTGTATTACCGAGTCAAGGATTTCAGATGCATCTGGGTAAAACCCTGCTGTCCTGCACTTCCAGAACACGTACAACTGGCACCAGAAGTTGCTGGACACTTTCCCCACGGGCAGTGCCCCAGCACGGCTGTGCCAGGAGTCAGCGCCCGCAGGATGCAACTTTCCCAGGCCGGCTCCTCCCCGCCAGCCTCGGGGCCGGGGATAGAGCCCAGCTGCAGGTTCCCTGTAGCTCGGACAAGGAAGGGAGCGCAGGGGGGATGAGAAGGAGGGATGCCACCAGCGCCTGCTGCCCCAGGACCCTGAGGAGCGACGCTGCTGAGCTCCTCTCAAGCCCCTCTCCAAGCCCTCCTGCCCCTGAGCGGTGCACCAAGGGGCTGGGGCTCCACCCGAAGAGACTGTAACAACAGAGGTGGCCCGGAGGCTTTAATCCCCCACCGCTGCAGGCCAGTGGCAACAGAAAGCAACACAACCTTGCAGAACCCTTCCGGCACGTCCACGTGGTCCCAAATACGGATCCAGTCTGGTTCTACCCAGCTGCGTGGGAGAGGAAGGAAAGCCCGGAGTCCTTCCTAGCCTTCAGCTTTGCTTAAAGCTGTGGCAGAGGCTGGCAGGTCTTGAAGCCTTCCCAAGAGTTTAACATCATCAGCTCTAGGCTTATTTGAACTCGCCACGAGACATAAATCCCTGAGCGTTTTGGTGCCTCCTTGGAAAGTACAGAGCCCCTGGTAGCCTGAAAATGAGCGGGAGTCCTCTGCAGCCCTGAGACTGCCTCTGGGGCACAGCAGAGGCCAGCAAGAAATAGAGCCCCTGCCCTCCTAGCGACTCCGAGGGCTGGAGTCCTGAGAGTCCCTTTACCGTACACCCAGGGAACTCTCCAAGCGTGCAAATCCTCCTTTCGGCAACGTCTGGTTGTAATTTGGATGACTTACCTCCCTCTGAGACGTCCCCTGGGACAAAAGGGCTAGCAGCATCCCGTGGGCAGTGCACGCGTTCTCCGGGCGCCGCTGTGCCCCGAGAGCTTTAGGGCAGCAACCCCCCAGTGCCGGGCGCTGCTCCCTGCAAAACGCACCCGTTGCCTTTCGAACCTGCAGCCTCCTGCCCCGCGGAAGCGCCCCAGCGAGCCGTAGCGTAGGAAACCTCCCCCCAGCCCATTGCCAGAGCAAGAGCCCTCGCCGCAGCCTCTGCTCACCTCCACAATCACCAACCGGTGCATTATTTATGGGAGACCTTGTGACCATCAAACCTTTGGTTTTCAGTATTTTTTTTTTAAACCCCGCTGTAGAACGTGAAGCGTATTTTCACGAGAGTTCTCTGTTTATACAGCTTCAAGTGCCAGGTAGTTTCTAGCGTCGTGTTCCCAGAGGTCCAGCCCTGTCTGTCTCTGCCTGGGGACAGGGCAATGCTCACTCAGCTCCTCTTCCCACTTTGGATGCTGCACACTGCATTCGGCTGATTTTCTCTTTTTTTCTTTTTTTTTTTTTTCCTCTTTTCTAAAAACATACTCAACCACTTGAAACTGTCATTACAAATGTGAAAATGCTGTACATAGATTTTGCTACATGTTGTACCTTTCCAAAATAGTTAGAACTCCAATTCCTTTGGTATTTTTATGTGAATATTTTCAGAGAACCAGAACTTCTGACATATGGTTATATTATTTGATAACGGGACTATGTATATTCCCAATTCAGTCTCTACCCAATGCCTATGTGCTATTCCTAAAATAAAGCTGCTGCCTTCTGCCTCCTGACTGCGCGTCCCTCTGTGTTTTGTCATAAATCGCTTTGTAGGACAGCTGCAGGTGGAGGTGTGAGGAATTCTGCATCGGGCACTTCTGTGGCTGCGCTTCTCAGTGCTGGCCCCTCACACCTACGGGAGAGAGATGCAGGATCTGACCTTGCTGGGTTTGGGCTGGCATGAGGAAAATAACTGCATAATTGTGAAAAGACCTGCTTGCGTGCCAGCGTGCAGGCTAGCGTGATGAATATGAGCAGCAAATTCTTAAAATAGTATGGATTTTTTCTGCAACCTTCAGAAGAAAACATCTAATGAGCGAATGAGCCAGTGAATTGTTTCCCTCTGAAAAGGAATTCTTGGCTGAGGTTGAGCTTATGTCCCCGGAGCAATTTATCTCCCTTTACACTAACAGCAGATAGATAGGGACGGGCTCCGTATCAGATTTCCTGGTTGTAGTTTAGCTTGTTTACAGCACCTGCTCAATCACTGGGCCCTGCCTGGAGGCCACGGCACCGCAACTCTGAAACGGCTCCCAACAGAGTTAACAAAAACGTTATGGTAGAGGTTCTCACTGAGCAGACGCATTTTAAGCCCTCGAACCCCTCCTGATGTTCCTTTAGCCCTCCTGGCTGGTCCAGCCTGGTTCTTCTGCAGCCCCGGGGATGTCGAGGCGCCCGGCATGGCCGTCAGAGCTCCCACCGGCGCGGCCAGACGCCGCTACAGAAATGATAACCTGGAGCACGGTACCCACGGCACTCGGCATCACTCACTGCTCACGCTGGGTTTGCTCGCTCTTGGTAACTGCAAGCATTAGGTAATTTTTCCCCGGAATCAGTGCGCTGGCTGGACACTCTCCTTTTAGGCTGAACAGAGTTCCTGAATCAGCCTCGAGCATGGGATTGTCTTCTCAGGAAAGCCTGTCCTTGGAAAGGAAATAATAACTCAGGCAGCAGCCCGGGGTCAGTGCGGGGAGCGCAGCCATGGCGTGGCTCCTGCTCCACGGGGTGCCACGTCCGTCCTCTGACAGAGGCAGGGAAACAATGACCCTGAAAATCCCAGGTTACATTCCAAACCTCGGATTATTTAAAGATTTTCACTTTTTCCTGCAAGAAATGGGGAATAAAAGACCTCAAAGAGGAAATGAGCAGCGTTAGTGAAGTTGGGGGTGAAGACACGATGGCAGCTTCACTGGCTGGGATAAACCAGCACCAGGCTGGCACCTCCAGGCCAAAGTGGAGCCACGAATGAACCCTCCCTCTAAGTATTTCGATAGTGGTTTGAAGGGCCACGGTCTGTAATTATTTTCCAGGTGCCATGAATGATGCCAAAGAGACAAAGAGAGGTCTCAGCTTCAGACTGGAAGTGCTGCAAGTCGGGACAAAGTGGCACAGACTGGGAGCCAGCACAGGGCACCTGGATGCTGAATTTGAAGCCCTTGAGGATCCACCTTGTTCTAACGCAGTTTAGGAAAATCTGGGTTTTCTAAATTCTGGCAGATCAAATTAAAGTGTCCCCAATCACAAGATCCAAAGGTCTTCACGTTCATCAGAATTGTAGCTGAGTGTGAAACAATGAGATAAAATACAGATACTGGGTTTTTCCCACTTTGCTTTCTGGTTTCTTAGACTCTGAGGTGTCTTTTGATTTTGGTGGTTTTTTTTGTTTTTTTTTTTTTAAACTTGTCTCCATTGTCAATCTAGAAAACTCAAAAGCGAAGGTGAGAGCTGAATTTCTGGTTCTAGTGGCTGAGATTGTCAGAGAAGGGGCAAGTTGCAGAAACCCTTTGGTAAAAGCAGTGAGCGAGAGAGACGAAAGCAGCACCTGGGCTCAGAGATGCCGCTCACGCGTGGCCAGCGATGCGGGACCGGCGCTGCCCGGGGGCTTCCCTGCTTGGGTGAGCCCTTCACCCGGGCGCTGCAGGAGAGCTGAGGATCCACCAGTAAAACAAGCCCTTAGGGGATGCCACAGAGGAGAATTCGGGTTGATAACTCCACCGTCAGGACGTGGATTAGGCCAGTGCCCACGCTCCATCTGCCCTCCCAGCCCTGGGCTACCTGCCCGGCAAGAGACACGGGGCTTCTCGGCAGTGCTGCCCCGGGCTCTGGGCACCCCGATTTCAGGGGGGTACGAGCTGCCTCCTGCCAGGTCTCTCGCTGTGCCGGAAGCTCTTCAGCATCACTCTCTGAGTGGTATTTCACCGTAAGGGTTTACCAGGTTTTTCGGACAGATGGTGCCGAAGCCAAAACCTCCAGCCTGGTCCCAGAAGAGGACCCGATCCTGGGATTGACCTACAGACAGAAATGAGTTGTGAGCCCCAGCCCTTGGATGAACTCTGCTCTCCGTAAGGTGTAGGCATAAACTCAGAGGCAGGACTAGCTGTCAGCTCCCCCCTGTGTCACGGGCTGTCAGCTTGAGAGGACATCAGCACAGATTTTTTTTTATTGTCACTTGTCCCTTCTCTAGCTGCGCAGATTGCTTAAGAGAATGGCACTCTGTGGAGTTTGACCCATGAGCCCTGATAGTGAAAATAATACACTTCTCACCAGAGCCACGGGAGACTGAAAGAGTAACTCCAGGCAATTAGTTTAACTTTGACTATAAATATTCCTTCTCATTCCTTGTGACACCGTTAACAGCTCCGCTGGCAAACCCCGATTCTCTGGCAATATTTAAGCTGCCTGTCCGTTGGCAGAGGCTTGGTGGTGCCCGGCGCAGGGAACAGAATGAGACCCAGCTGAGCGCAGTAAGTTCTCTTTCAGCTTCTACCTCGAGCCGGGGAGCTCCGGTCGGCGCGTGGGTTTGGGGCTGATGCTGGGCTGCGTGTCAGCCCCCGGTGAGCGGCGTGTCTTTAGGAGGTGGATGGACCTGAGGATGCTTTAAAAAATCCTGTTGAGGAGGCATTTAGAGCGGTACGGTCCGGATGGGTTACTCGAGACCCACGTGGGCTGCGTCTCTCCCGGCACCGTTGATAAAGGGCTGGCTTCAGCGGCTTCATTTCAATGCCACGGGTGTTCCTTCCTCACAATCTCTGGCGAGGAAAGTGCAGCCGCCTGTGCCAGGAACCGAGGGAGACCAGGCTGTGAGCTGAATTCACAAAACGGGCAAAATTTCCACTGGGCTGTGGCAGAGTTAAGATCTGAAATCAGAACAACCGAGCCTACTGCATTTTTCTAATGCCCAGCCTCACCCCCGGCTCCGGGAGCCGCAAGAGGAGCTTTAACCAGGCGCTGGGAATTTCCCCTGGAGTGGATCCCACATTTCCTTTCTTCACTGACAGGCAGGACGAATGCCTGTAGGGCTCTGCCCCAGACCTGCACACATTCGGGGGTCTCACACACGTGGCTGAATCCCGAGTGAGACCCAGCCCGTGTAGCTGATAGTGGCTCTGGGAACCCCCCAGCGCAGGCCTGAGGTGGGAAGTGGCTCAGGATGAAAAGAAGCAGCAATATCAGAGCAACAAAAGAGAAAGTAGGAGGTGTTAGAGCAGGCTTAGCAATATCCCAAGGCTGGCATACCGAACCCTAATTTTCTTTTCCTAGTTAGAGGTTAAGCATGCCAGTAAGAACTCAGCAACAGCCAAGACACGTTGCCTCTTAAAGAGGTAAGATAGCACTGGTCTCCTGATCGTCAGTGCTCTGCATCCTTGCAAGGCAGAAGCTCCCAAGGAATTCAGTGGGATACAGGGGCTCTACAAGGCACAGAAAAGGCTCTGCCAAGGGGCTGCCAGCCCCTGGTCCCAGCCTGGCTCTGCCACCACTGCCACGCAGCCAGAGCATGGCTCAGTACCGCCTTTGGCTCTTGTGCTGGAGGCTCCTGATGTCCCAGGCTACCACCCCTCAGCTGCGGAAAGTGGGTGATGGTCTGGTATCTGCCACTGGAAAACTCCTTAGTTATTGCCCGACCTTTTCATAACCGCAGGAGCGCAGCAGCTCCAGGCAGAGCCCGTGCTGCAGGACTGGGCGTAGCGGGGACACAGGGCAGGGCTTGTCCTCCTGAATACTGCCCGGCCGGGGAATCGCGGCATCTCCGTCACTGCGGTGCTTGCGGCTCTGTTCCCTCTCCGCTGCCTGCTCACACCTGGGCACCGGGAGCCCGGCGCAGCCGCGGTGCAGGAGGGCGCCCGTTGTGCTTCGGGCAAGTCCTCAGGCCACAGGTGAGTTAAGGGCAGGTTCCAGCTGCAGCTCAACACGTGGACAAAGGGGTGAAGCCGGCAGAGGTTGTGAAACACGTGACTGGGGACAGGGCGGCTGTTTCAGTCTGTGCTTTGCTGCGCGCCGGGTGTTCAGAGGAAGAACTTGTTTGACCGCTTGTTGTCCGACCATCTGCACCGGGAGCCCCGGGCTGGTGTGGGCCACCCTTCGCCCCACCTTCTTCAGCTTTTTGGCAGAGGAGCTTGGAAGTGTTGCCTTACAAGTCCAAGAGAGGCCAAAGGATCTGGCCAGCTGCGTAGGCAGGAGGACGAGGACCAGCAGACACCCAGCCCAGCCGTCCTGGTGACGCTGGGGCCGGACGCGGAGCTGAGCTGGCTGCGAGGCAGCGTTGAGGCCAGGGAGTGCTGGCTCGGCCTCTCGTCAGAGGAACCATCTCCTTGGCTCAGCAGGGTAAGAGAAATAACCCCAAACCTGCTCCGTGGCTGGAGCGTGGCAGTGAGGTGCTGGGCTCAGGGATTCCTGGTGACTGACAGCCACAGACTCCCCGAGGTGGTCCCTGGCCCTGCCTTGGCCGCACAGGGCTGCCACTCGCCTCCTGTCCTGCTCTCAAAGCAGGGCCCAGCCTAGGTGAGGGGAGGAGGAGGAAAGGAGGAGAAACTCCATTAATTCAACTACCCAACCAACCTCCTGGCACGGACTTTATCCTGCCCCTCTGCCAAAGGGCAGCAGCCTGGCACCACGGCTGCTCCGGAGGGATCCAGAGAGCCCTCGCGGGGGTCCCACACTGGTACCACGTCTCCTCAGCAGCAATTTCTGGAGAAGAAAATGTGTTTTTCTTCCTGTGGGAAGCACATGAGTGTCT